TGCATTAAATAGTTCTATTATTTTCAGCGTCGCTATGAACTTTCTACGTCCCAAACCAGAACTTTTCAGTCAGTAGAGCGTCGGTCTCACGATCTAGAGATCTTTGGTTCGAGTTCTGGTCACTTAATTTTCCTTAAGTTCCTTCCTTCCAAAGCAGATAAATTAGTTTCATTTTGGGGGAAGCAAAGCTCAAACTACACGCTACGGTAATCGCAACCCTACAGGTATGACATTATAAAAACCAAGGTACTCCTATCCATTGCCTCATTTGGAAGTGATAGCCCAGTATGACAGCATTAGCCTGCATCACCAGTCCATCTGGAGCCCTGCTAATCTTTCGCGTTTGAAAGGAGAAGACCGGAAGGGAGAAGGGCAAACTTGTAGTTTATCAAGCTGATACCTGCCTGTATGATCTGATTGATTATCATCTTAACGAAAAGTATTTTCTCTTCTGACAGCGTTATGTTCCGGCAGAAACAGGGTATTCCGATGGGTTCTCCTGTATATATTACTTTAGCCGAATCTTCATAGGCCATATTAAAACACCAGCATTTAAATTTTCTTCTTTGATCTTAAATTCTTGCTCTATTTTAACTGTATGGATGATGTTTTTCTGCTGCACAGAACTAATATTCTGGGTTTAATATTAGCGATTATATTTAAGTTTAATATGAGCGATTTTAGATTATTTCAGTTTACAAGATATTAGCGACCATCTCGGATTCACCAGTGAGCAAGAGCATAATAATACCTTAATGGAGATTCGACGTATCATTCGACGTAATTCGTTGACCTTTTTTGACGTAATCATTATGGCTGCTTTACCTTGGCGGTTTACAGAAAGCCACTACTTTCCAGTGGGTATTTAAATCCCACTTCTTGCATGTCCGCTCGGTCCTTATTAACGTTATGAAATGCATACAGTTTAGAGCACAGTAATACTGCATTACTGACAGACTAATAAACATCATTTGCCAACTTTCGACAAAACGGATATTCCGGTAATTTACTTAGTTATGTTCTAATTCATTCTCATTCCGAATCGGCCCCCATTGTTGATCGTAGCAATTTAACAATCATTTCGTATGTTCCCGGTTTATCTAAAGAATTTAATACATTTTAAAAAGTATGGCCTTAACGAATTTTTCTCTAGGAGCATGTTGTAATCTATACTGTACATCTATATGTAGTTTTGCTTATCTTCGTCGCATGCAAATTAACAACGTAGTTTATTAAATGTAAAGAATGTGAACGAGTTTATATTGAGAAAATTTTTATTACTTTTAAAATAAGTATCATTGTGCATAACCGAGAATAACAATTGCAAGTCATCATCCGCAGCTGTCTGGTTTTGTTGCCTACTCCATAAAAATGACTGTCGACTGAATAAAGCTAATATCACCGTGATCAATCGGCAGAGCGACAGGGTCAAACTGCTTATTATTATGAATTTGAGAAGGATGTGCAGCAGCACGACTAGTTTGTTCAAAACGTTCGTCTGACATTTTTGTTAACATGGGGCCAACGTAATTGTTTTGTTTGACGCACTTTCTGTCCCTCATGTTTGTGCGTCTCACTTTGGACGGTGTTAATCGGCTTTCTCCATTTCATCGTTTGCCCTGTTTGCCCTAATATTGTTCAGTTTAAATGTTGGCAGTTTCAATAAGGAAATTGCCTTCTTTCTTTTCGCTTCTGTTTAGAACCATGAAACTAACGATTTATTATTCTTTGTATTATA